CGACTCGGGCCGTCCTAAGGGCTTCGGTTACGTCGAGTTTGCCGCGCAGGAGAGCGCACAGGCTGCCATCGACGCCATGACCGGCCAGGAGCTCGCCGGTCGTCCTCTGCGTCTCGACTTCTCCACACCGCGTGACCGCGACGGCGGTGCGCCGCGCGGTGGCGGACGTGGCGGCGGATTCGGCGGTGGCCGTGGCGGCGGACGCGGTGGTGGATTCGGCGGTGGCCGCGGTGGCGGATTCGGCGGTGGACGCGGTGGCGGACGCGGTGGCCGTGGCGGCGGAGACGGCTCCTTCCGCGGCATGCCCCGTGGTGGCGGATGGGGTTCCCGCGGCGGCAGCGCACGCACTGGCGGCGCCGCCGACTTCTCCGGCAAGAAGATGACTTTTGACGACTAAACGTCTACTTCTCCTCTCCCCACGCATCCAATCCGGTCGTTCTTCGCATCGAGGCCCCCACCCACACTCCCTAATTCTTCCCTGCCACTGTGGCGGTAGACTCACCTGCCGCCTCAACGGATCAAAAGCGCCCATCCTTGTTTGTCTGTCCTTGATTTGGATGGCGTAAGGATGCGGGTCCTCCGTCGCACCGTCCGGATGTCCCATTCTCGATTGTTTTCCAGTGTCCCCGTGTTTCTCCATTTCTGCAGCATCTGTACATCTCGAGGGCCATCTCTATTGTAAATTCTCTCCCCCTCTTCCAGTCCCGTCGCTCTTGCTTGCTTGTTGCTTTTTCTGTCCAGCTCATCCTTGGCGCAAATGGGCCGCAGTGCAGCAATTCGTACGTCATAAAGTGCAAAAGACCCAAGATCTTGTTCGTGCAGCAGTGATAGCATGGTGCGAAGACAAGGCCGATGGTGATAGGAGGAAAAATTGGTGGATTTGTAAAGTCGCGGACGAGGTGACAGAGTGAGATTTGGAAAAAATTGGGGATGACGTGCGGCCGGAGAGGCCGGCTTGTATTGCCGAGTGGAGTGTGCGTAGTCTGAGGGCAGCAGGCTGTCGTGTGTCGGTGTCAGCACAACGCAGCTCGAGAGGCGATCGGGACGAGTCGCCGCACGGTCCGCAGCTTGTTGCTCGACCACCAACTTTGTCTGCATTCTTGCACTGCCAACGCTGGAGGTTCCTGCATGTCTAGGCTCGTTGCACGTGCTCTACCTGCCGTCCGCATCCAAGGCCCCAAGCATCTCGTTCCGTCTACCACCACTCGCTCGCTCTTCAGCCTACCACCCACCACCCGACCGCATCGAGGCTTGCGTCGACCCGTCGTCAAGATGGCAACGCAGGCGGGAAGCTTCCCGTCGTTCACCACGGTCAACTTCTATGCCGGCAGCAAGCTTAACCGGCTCTCGTGGTTGAGGACCTCGACCGAGTTTCTCAACTCGACCATTGCGTCGCCACAGACTCGCTTCGTGCTGATGAAGCACAACAATCCGCTGTGCCACGGCTCGGGCGACAACGAGGGCATGCTCGCCACATTCTCCTGGGACGAGGTGAAGAAGCACGTGCTGCAAAACGTCGAGGCCTCGGGAGGAGCCAAGACTGGAGAAGATGCGTCGGTATTTGGACCTCAGGCGTACGGGCTCACCAACGGCGCGGGGGAGAAGGAGTTTGCGCGCGCCACCGACGGCGTAGGACCGAGCAGGCTGGCTCTGGTCTTTCTGGGCATCGACGAGTCGGAGCTCACGCAGACGTCGCTGCCGGGCCAGATGGCCAAGGACGGCGACAAGGCCGAGGGCGCGCCTGCGGGCGTGCCATACTTTGCGCTCTCGTTGACGTACCGCCCGGCGTTCGTCGAGGGCGAGGCGCCGATGCAGGCGCTGCTGGACGAGATCGAGGCAGAGGGTGACAAGTACGACTTCTTGGACCTGCGTGCCTCGTCGCGCGCTTCGGCATGGCCGCGCGAGCACGCCGCCATCGTGGCGCAGGCCAAGAGTCTGCTCGACTGGAACGAGCGCCACCAGTACTGCCCCGGGTGCTCGCGCCAGCAGTACTCGCTCTGGGCGGGCTACAAGCGCGGATGCAGCTCCTCGCTCGGCCTCGCCGCACCCGGCTCGCACTTCGCCACGGCCTTTCTCGGGGGAAAGACGTCGTTCGAGGAGGATGGAAAGGGCGTTTGTCCGTCGACGCAGGTGCTGAGCAACTTCCACTATCCGCGCACGGACCCGGTGATCATCATGGCGATCATCTCGCCCGATGGAGAAAAGGTGCTGCTGGGCAGGCAGAAGAAGTGGCCGGCGGGATTCTACTCGTGCCTGGCCGGCTTCTGCGAGCCGGGCGAGTCGTTCGAGGAGGCGGTGCGGCGCGAGGTGCTCGAGGAATCGGGCATCCAGGTGGACCAGGTGATCTACCATTCGTCGCAGCCCTGGCCGTACCCGACCAACCTCATGGCTGGCTTCTACGGCATCGCCAAGACGGACGACGCCGAATCCATCCGTCTGGACCTGGACAACGAGCTGGAGGATGCACGCTTCTACACGCGCCAGGAGATTCTGGATGTGATCGAACGCAAGAAGAATGCGCACTTTACGCGCGCCGAACTCGAGAAACTCGACAAGGAACACCACACTTCCGACGGAGAGGACAAGGCCAAGGACAAGGCGCAGATCCGTCTGCCCCCCGACACGGCCATCGCAAGAGTGCTCGTCGAGGCTTGGGCAAAGGGTCATGCGGTCCTGCCTACTCACATGGACAACTTCCAAAAGACGCGCATGTAACTTGCTCCCCGTTGCCATACATTCCGAGAGTCCTCAGTCAGTGAGCACGATTACGAGCGAGATGTTAGGACAGGCATGACGTAGAGATTGCGAAAAAAAACCGAGAAGGATTGGGCGGGCGCGAGCTAGACGACGCCCCAAAAGTCCTCGAGGGCGCAGCAGAACTTGCCGCACGCCACCGACGCGCTGAGCGAGTATTCGGAGATGGAGATCTTTTCGTCCACAACGCCGTCTGCAAACGTGTCCTTGCCATGCGCCATGGCACCTACAAAGACGGCGATGCTGTGGTTGTCGGGGATGGTGGGGAGGTAGTTGCTCAGACGCTGTACGGGCGAGTCGAACGAGAGCGTGATCTTGTGCGTGTTGGCGGGGAAGTGGTCGGTGACGGGGTTCTTGATGACGCGCAGCAGCTTTTCGGAGCCGCCCATGGAGCGGATGCTGAGCTTGTGGAGCAGCTGCACCATGAGGCCCGAGAAGCGCTTAAAGGTGCGTGGGATGCGCACGTGCGGGTTCACCTCGATGAGCACACCCTTGGCCGTGTGGATGTACACCTGCAGCAGACCGGCCTTGTTGAGCGGCGAGTCGAGCAGCGTGAGCAGACACTGGTGGGTGATGTCGGGTCGGGCCTCGGCAATGTCGCGGCCCATCTTGGCGAGCACACGCTGGTGGTCGTCGCAATTGAGCAGCGCATACTTGTCGCCACCGTCCTTGTTGTTGCGTCCGCCACCACCGGGTGCGCGGCTGGCGGAGCCGGTGGAGACCTTGTAGGTTTCCAGACACGCCTGTTCAAGCACCACGATGAGGCGCGGCGTGTTTTCCTTGTCGGCGGCCGTCTTGGGCACCTTGGGCACCTGGGGTACGAGCGACGAGTCGACGCGCGAGCGCTTGGCGCTGTTGGCCTTGGCGGCGGCGGCGGATGTGGACGAGGAGGCGGCGGCGGCGCCATTGGAGGTGGAGGCGGATGAGGAACCGGGCATGGTTGTGACGGGCTTGGGTGGCAGCGCGTGACGCATGGCCGGGAGCGACTTGCTGGACGACGAGCCGGAATGCGACGAGCCCACCGACGCCGTCTCGGGGTTGAGGCGCGATTGGATCGATTCAGCAACAGCAGCCTCGCGCTGGCCCCGCTCTCCCGAGGCGGTGGTGGATCGCGACGCGGGCGAGGTGGCTCGAGGCGATTGTGGAAGCGGTGCGATCGGGCGGTATGTGGTGGCAGGAGCAGAGCGTGTGGTCATTCGGTCGTCCTCCGAATCAGACGCTGCGGATGAGGCCGACGACATTCTGGCAGAGAGTCACGCGAGCCTGATTGTAACCTAGCGGGTGGGTCCGAGCTTATATGAAGCCGAGTTGCTCCTGCGGTCCGCTATCGATGTTGCTACTGTGTCTATTGAGAGCGGTCGGGAGGCGGCAGATGGCGGAGCGAAGGGTGGAGTAAGATACCGATTGGCTCGGATCAGGATCATGCTACTCATGGCCGGGGCCTGCCCTTGGTCTGTGGACCGCTGCTGAACCACATTTCACATCCTCGACCAACGAGCAGCAAGAGCTGCTGCCCGTCGAGCGCGACCCTGAAAGGCCCAATTTTTCTCTCTCTTTTTTTCGAGTCGCATGATGAGCTGCGCCCACAGTCAACCTTCCTTCCGAAAAATCAAAGCGCCGCGCGAGCTCGGCTGACCAGGGTTGCAGATTGAAAAAAAAAAA